TAAATATTAAGGAATGATGTCACGAATTCAGTTTGACGGGGTTCACAATTTCCAATTGTACCAGATTGTCGTCTTCCTCTACAACACGTGCTAATAGGCCTTCATAACTTTTCTCGATAATGTTTCGCCTTTACGCCTAGGAGTAATTTTTGTTTGAGTTTCTGCTGTTTGCCAGTAGGGCTGACCGTAAGGATGACGAGTCATCAAAAAATGACTATTTTTAGTCAATGCTCCACCAAAGGAATAATAATAATGCAGTCAATCCATCTCTTGGATTACGTGGAAATCCTTGAAGTCCAATGAAATAAGATTAACTGGCATTCTCGGATTGGTAATAGAAATGGTGTAACCACTGCACTTACATAAGACATAATAGACTTGCCTTGTGGCATTGGGATTCTACCTAATTGAGGTACCATGTGGTTGGAGTATTTGAACAAACAAGGATAATATAACTAACTGGTGGTTAATGTTGTCATTACTACAGGTTTGTTGTTCTCCTATATGGCTTGTACCTGAGTTTCTATGATTATGGTTCCGTTAGCTCTAAATGTCTTGATAAGTGTGTAGGTCGATGGTGCCACTACCTAACGTTTCTATGTTATTCTAGTAATGTCTGTCTCCCTGGAATAGTGAACCGGTGTCCTGGCAATGGTATGATATCCTTATACCACACTGCATTTTCAATATAAAGGGATCATACAGCCTGGATATTGGTTCATAACTCCCGAATACAGGACAATCTCATTCTGGTGACAATTAGCATCATCTAGGTTGGCTACTACCTAGGGCTTAGTCAAAAGAGTAAGTAAGATTTTCTAGGAAGGCTACTCCTATAAGGTGATTTTGTCGCTTTTCGGAACACTAACTACTACTTTTGGTATGTAATTATAGGAACTAGTGTTTATGAAACTACTCTAACTCAAGAATGGGAATTGTGGTTAACTTTACCTCAAAATGGGATTTATCCAAATTCGATCTTCCTCCTGGAGATCCGGAATCATAATTGCTACGTTTGAAAGATTGATGTTGTCAAGGACCAAGTACGACTATCCCCCAGATGTTTTTCCATTAACTATTACTACATCAGCACTAACATAGTCACTCGATACATTTTCAAAAACATCGAGGTGAAGCAAAACCTCGACCAAATTATGAGAGGTGGCACAAAATAAAGATTGCCAAGGATGGAAGCCTTTGCGATTTCCTAACGAAGAAGGGTAACGATGGCTGGATTGCAGTTGGGACTAGTCGATAAAATTTTCGATGGTACACAATTATCAATACAGCTACCCTACTTTAGGGTCAACAAAACGTCTCCATTTCAAGTCTTTCTTTAGCAAGGAAGTTTTTCACGTAAAGTCTAGTGGTGGTCGCCAAGGTTTCTTCTAGAAGGTCGATAAGTCATCCAAAAAGTATCAGCGATAATCATTCCAAGTTGTCCAAAAGTCATGAAAAGATGGCATATTTCGTGTTCGACAAGGTGGCATAATTATGACATTAGAATTCAAGAACCGAGAATGCTTACATCACATATGTGATGATACTGATACTACATAACTTATGCTCTTATACCAAATTGACACATCTCGACCCAGAATGTCCACCTGGACACCCGAACCGCAATATTCTGGTCGACACCTAGAAGGTGACAAAGCCATAAAGTGTAATGATGTGGAAAATGTGAATAAATTAAAACCTAACAGTGACTAATTTAGAGTGCGCATGTCAGCAGGATTGAACTCATATCACACAAGTGATGTCAGAGCATAGATAAATTTGCAGTAAAAACGTTTATACCAAAATGAGAAGTCTCTTACACGATAGCTTTTGCTAACAATCATCATCGTCACGAAACCTCTACCACTAAAATCTTGGAATAGCGAAAAACATGGGTGAGTAGGCCTGAAAAATAAAGTTTTGTAAAACCTTTTCAAAAAATGTAACCCCTAGCTGTAAAACAAGCATATGGTTTCCCCAAAATTATATAATATTAGTATGTAATACGATACCCTGCAGCAAAAGTGAGTAAAAAGATGTAAGGTACACCATCAAGATATCTCAACATTAAATCTCAAATCGATATCACAAGAAAACAATGCTCATTAATTTATGTAGGCACACAAGTCCATAGCAGAGATAATCAGACAATGGAATAGGTTGGGTGTAGGTTTTACATTCTAGTACTACATCACGTAAGTTGTGCTAGTCGCATCACATACGAGTCCAAAACATCACACAAAAGGATAGGTTGGCACCTAACTCTAGATACAAAGCGAATGTAAACGATGCATGTGAACCACACTTGAAGCTGGTCCTTGGCCCAGGTTAGTATAAATAGCTAAGAGTCATCATGCAAACATGTAATAATGAGCTTATAAAACGCAAGGATGTCATGCCACAAGTTTATACTCACAAATAATATTAAAAACATAAAGTCTACGAAAAGCCTATTTATAAAACTAAACATGGCATGTCACATCATAATATATAAAAGCAGTTGTTGGGAAAATCACATATATATATATATATATATACGTAAAACGGAAAAGATCCACTCACAGAGACTTTCAATGTCACATCTATTCAGGCTGGGAAAGCCGGAGTCTCCGATAGTAATCACAACTAAGCATAATATCGGGACCTATTAGTAAAACTCAACTTAAATGACTAAATTTGGGAAAACGAAGTGCGGATTCGGAATCGAAGCGTTAAAATATGCTAAGAAAGGTCTCGAACAAAGTTTGTAAAAAGTCAACATGAAAAATCAACGGTCAACCCTAAAAGTCAATTGTGACGCCCCAATAGCCAACTACGTTAAAACTTCGAAATTTCACTAAAAATATGTCAAAAACGAACTCGGGGCATTAAAATTAGCCTAGGAGGGTTATCGAGAACATTTTGAAAAAGTCAACATAAACAATATTCCAGAATCTATTTAGAATTTGGGTTGGGCCGGATCCAGGTTTGGGTTGGAGGGTCATGGGCTTGGGCTTTCCTTTTTTTTTTCTATACCGGGTCAGGTTAGCTCATTTGAACTAGTGGGTCAGCCCAAAGGTTTGGGGGGGGGGGAGGGGGGTTTCAAACCCTCCGCTCTGACCCATTTCACATTCAAAAATTGCCTATAATATATCGAAATGAAGCTTGGAAAGTGTAGAACAAAATTGTACCTGTTTGGAGTTCAACAAGTGATCGAAGATGGCCGAAAAATGGTAGACCCAGCAGTTTCTAACACGAAATGAAAATAACGGGTTTTGAGTCAACACGATAACTAATCTGGTCATTATCTGGTGACCCGTTTCGACCCGTTAAGAAAAAAATTATTTTGATAATTTTAAAGTTTAATTACTAAAAGATTTATTATAAAATACAATAGCCATATTAATATATGCAATATATTCTAGGAAATTGTGATTGGCACTGCAAATTTCTCATTCTAAACTCCAAACTTTCTATATTTAGAAGGAAAAATACATTTGTGAGGAGTGTAGAATGAGATTTTTGGAGTGCTAATAACACTTCCCTATATTCTATATTAAATACATAGTTTTATGTTATTATTCTATATAAGTTTAAAAAAAAAAAAAGTTTTAGTCATTATTTATTTTTATTATGAGAGTTCCTTCTTATCATTACTAAGATAAATTTTACTTAACATGTTGTTGTCCAAAATTAAAATAAACTAGTATCGTATTTGTATAGGCAAGAAGCAAGAAAACATACATACAAGTATGAAAAATGTGAAAGAATATATAAACACTCGTGATTCATCATTATTCCTCCACGAGTAGATAATGGTTACACTTATATTATCGTTTAGATTTTTAAAATCCTTCAAACCCTCATGAATAATGTTTTTTTTTTGAGGGAAAAATTAATAATAATTATTGTAGAAGTGTAAAAAATGTAGGAAAAATTAATTAATAATAATTATATATATATATATATATATATATACAATCACTCATAATGACAAGCTTTACAACTTTCATGAAGGGGTCAGCTTCGAAATCCAACACTATAATCCATAAACCTTAAATTTATATTTAACCGTCAATTGTCATTTATGCTTTATTCTTCGTATTGAATTTCATTTTTTTTATTTTCTTTTTTGAAAACTTGATCATCTAGCAGATGTAAGAAGATGAACGGTTCAGATCTTTGATATCATGTTTCGATATTTACAGTTAACTGAAATAAGAATCGATGTCATATAGTTTGTAGAAACTTTATAAACATCAAGTAATATTTTCACCAACCGTAAAACTTTGAATATAATATCAATGATCCAAACCGTTCATCTTCTTACATCCTCTAATAGATCATGTTTTCAAAAAAGAAAATCTGAAGAAAAAAAAAAAAAAATTTGATGAAAACAATGAAGCGTAAATGTAAACAACAATCAACGGTTAAATTTTGATCTATGATTTATAGGATTATTGTGGGGAATTTCGAAGTTAAGCTCTTCATGAAAGTTGTAAAACTTGTCATTATGAGCATTTATATATTTTTTTCTATACTTTTTACACTTCTACATTAATTAAAAAACTATTAAGGACTTTACTTAAATAACAACCGTAAGATAAATGAGAGTAAATTTGTACCGTTGGATTCTATTTCACTCATATTATTAGAACTTTTTTTGGACGAAAAACCCCTTCTCTATTCCAATATTTTCCAATTTTACTATTTGATCAATTTAGGTAAGCGAAAATATACTTAAAACAAAATGCGTTTTTATGTTTTGGATGTGACAATATGGTATGTATATACTTATTTAGTATTATGTTTTTCATTTGATTATTTATTGGTTTAAAATGTATTTTTCCTAACGGGTAACAGGTCGAGTCATATTACCTGTTAATATTATCGGGTCGATTTCAGGTCGGGCCATTTTATCTGGTTATTTTAACAAGTGTTACACGACACGACCTATTAAAATATCGGGTGTGACACGAAAATAACACGAACACGGAAAACACGACACGAATGCCAGGTTTAGAAAATAGCCTCCAAAGGCTAGATTTCTTCACCAGATTCTAGAAAGTTTACACCAAGAGCATGCATGTCAGTTCAATAGTGATTTCCAGCTAAAAACCACATGCATGAAGATATTTAGTTACCTAGGATCAATTCTAAGCGAGCCCAAGTGCCACCACTCATGAACTCAACGAAAGTCTTGCCGGAATTTTATGTTGGGGTTGAGCATGCATATGCAAAAGATGGCAAGGCTAAAAACACACGGATTCAAGTTTAAACTCAACATAACGTTCATTTCCATCACAAACAAAAGCCTAAAAATTGAAGAGAATGGAAGAATCTTACCTAAGATTGAAGGTGAGAGAGTTCGAAGCTCTCGAGTCTTCAATGGTAAAGCACTCGAAGTTGCTATGATGCTGCATGCAAAGTTGCAGTCGTGTTCCCTATGTCCCAAAGGTTTGAAATATTAAGATTTGGGGTTAAATTTGTGAAGGAACAAGTGCTGGTGGTGGCTGGTTTTGATGGAGCTAAAGAGAGAGCTTTAGGAGTTACAAATAAAGTGGAGTAATGTTATTCATACTATGTTTTATACCACATTTCTATACCACCTTAGGTGGTATCTAATGTGGACAACTACATTATTTGAAAATTTTGCAAAATCCCACAAAAGGAAGGAGAAATATTCCTCGTATACCAAAAGCATCATTTAATTAACTAGTTTTTCTTAATTATTAGTTTATTAAATAATGAACTAAATTTAAAAATCTGATTAATTCAAATGATGTGATTGTTCATATCAAATGTCACATAAAATGATATAAAAATGTAATACAAAAATATAGTATGAATAACATTATTCAAGAATAAAGTGAGGATAAGTTGCACAAAGAGAGAGAGAGCGCAGAAAAAGTGAGGGAGAGTGGAGTGGGTAGAGGGAGGGAGAGAGGGAAAGATAGAGTGATGTAGGAACCCGCCAATAAGGAAAAAAGAAAGGAAAATTAATGAAAAGAGTTTAAAAATTTTGAGTTTTAGCGATAAAGAAAAAATAAAAAGTAAAGTGAATAGTACTAGACTTGACTTTTTAATATAAAAATGTAGTTTTTCATTAAAATAAAGAGTATCGTAAATTTTTCGTTAAAATTTGTAAAAAAAAAAAAAAAAGGAAGGAAAAGGGGAACGGGTCAAAATAAAAGAAAATAGTGAATTGATGTGTGTGTAAGAGAGAGAGAGAGAGAGAGAGAGAGGGAGAACCGCTAGGTGAGGGAAAAAGAGAAATGTGATGGGGAGATGTGTGTGAGTTGATGGGACACAACAAGGGTTTTCTAAAACCCAACATTTTTTTTTTCCCCACTTGCAACGATCAGTACATTCAGGCAATATCTCTGCACAATGCTGATTTCGGTGTCCCAAAAAGAATCCATACAGCATTGCATGTTGCACAAGGAGAAAATTTTAAGTTTTAAAATTGTTCCGGTAGTATCACATGGTTTCGGACATAATTGGTTCGATATAATTTTAAATTGAGTTTCGTCTGCGATCATGTGTTCGTAAAAATGAGTATTATTTGGAAATAGTAAAATAAGATTGGAAAAGTGAAATGAAAATTGAGATTCACGTGAAGAGCCTATATAACATCTCAAGGGTATTTTAATAATTTCATTACTACTAAAAATAAAATAAAATAAATTTCAAAACAGGATGTCACAATAGACAAATGAAATTTTCCATTCATTAAAACACAGTTGTAGAGAACTTACCAAAACCTTTTTCCAGGAATGCACGATTATACCCTAAATAACAAATGAAAAAAATTAGTTAGAATGATATCAATTAAAACATTAGGAAAGACAAAAGTTCAACATAAAGATAAAATCCCGTAGAAAAAGCTTAATTAAATAAATGGGCAATTATTGTTGTAGGTGAAGTGGAAAGCGACAACAATTTGTTATTTTAAACAAATGGGCAATTCATGTTGTAGGTTAAAATCCCAAGAAAATTTCACCAACAACCATTCGTGCATAAAATCACAAAAATTAAATTAGTTTATGTTTTAATCGGGTCTATTTATGAACAAAATTACCACATAAAGGGAAATAGAAAGAGAGAAACAAAGTGAACCCAATAAGAAAAGGTGAATTAGAGTGCAAAGCCACAAAAGAGAGAGAGGAGAAAAGGGGATCAAGGTTAGGGTTCAGAAACGAGAACGAAGAAAAGGGGGATTGGAGAAGAAAATAAGGCCAGTGCTTACCAGTTACCACTATCGTCGTCAATCAGCAAGAGTGGGTTTAGAGAGTGTTTCAGAACACTGAAGAGTTCAACGCCCTCAATTCTTTCTCGTCCTACAGAGAGAGAGAGAGAGAGAGAGAGAGAGAGAGAGAGAGAGAGAGACTAAATGATGTTATCTGGGATTTCATGTTTTTTTTTTTTTTTTTTTTTTCTAACACTTGGAAATGGTTTGGGCTATCAGCGGGAAAAAGTGAATAAAAGGGCGCCTTACTTGAAAATTCTGAAAAATTATAGCGGGAGTGCTATAGCGGGAATTCAATTTTCCTCGCTAAAATTTTATTTAGTAAGAAAAATAAAAAATTTCTCGCTACTATTTTGGTGGGAAGGAAATGTAATTTCCACTAAACCTACAGCAAGATAATATATTTTCCTCACTAGCATTATGTACAACAACAAAAAATTTCCTCACAGAAATAATTTTTTTCTCATTGTTTCTTTGACATGTGTGGAGATCAAACTGAACTCAATTTTTGCAAGAACTTGAACAGCGAGGACAATTTGTTGTAGTACGTGTGTTCGATGGTCGAAGTTGCTCGGTGATACAAAGGGCCACCCTTTGTTAAATGTGCACAAGCAGCATAACATCCTTTATCATTGTTGCCTACTCTCCACAGTATTCAAGACCACACATCTAAATCTGGACTATCAAAAGTGCACAAGGAACGAAGCCAAGATGCCACATGTCTGAAGAAAGAAAACTGTATGTATTTTGACTTACTCAGAAAGGCATAGTCTTTTGGGTAACTATCTATTCTCAATAGGAACAAGTCTTTTCAGATACATAGTTACGGGTAATTGTGGGATCATAATTTTCCAGGGCGGGAGTAAGACGAATTGGAATATGCACACTTCAGAAGTCCAATCATGGACTCAACAGCCTCCATCGCGGAGCTAACTAAATGAAGCAGTGATGCCACCATCATCCAGCTTCAGATTCAATGGGCGAAGTCCAACGACTTTGCTAAAATTGACCGTGGTTGTTGCCCAAGATACGGAAACCTAATCTCGTAAGGAATCAATATATTTCCTATAATCTTAGAGTCTTTACAATCTAAAGATCAGCGTGCGTTGCAAATAATCACACTCCTAATAGGATGCAATATCTACTTCTTAGATATCCTCTGGAATTCTCCCGGTTTAATAAGGACTTTACTATCTTATAAGGTCCTCTCCTCAACTGGTATAAATACACCTTCTAAGGTTTATTTCTGGTACGCAATCTCTGTACACTTATTCTTACTTACGGTTGTGTATTCTTTTATAGGTAAACGAGTTTGAGAATCTCCAACTTTTACGGTGGTGCGCATAGTTGGTTCCAACATTATGCTTGGTGCAAAAGTTTTCATAACTTACTTATTTGATGAGGATAAGGATTTGATTTCCTTGTCTATTAGGATTTAGACTTTACTTCCTATTACGACTCTCAGTGTATAAGTCCTATACTCTATAAATAGGGCCTTAGGGTTAGTTTATTTTGGTGTGGCTTATTTCACTGGCAAACTTGTGAGAGTCAATTTGTGAGTTTGAGAGTTAGAGAAAAATTTGGGAGAATCTCTTCCGATTATTTTGGGTTCTCTACTCATTAGAGTTTGTAATTTATGGCATTTAGGGCATGAGAGTTAAACACTCTTTTGTAATCTTTGTTGGTTTAGTAAAATTCTTTTTCGTTCTTCCTCTGTAGACGTAGGCTTGTACGCTGAACCACATAAATATTTTGTGTTATTTTGAGATTGTTTGTTTCTTCAGTTTCACCTACAATATTAATATTTGGTACTTTGTTAGAATTCACTTTCGTCCGTGGATGTAATCTTTTACTTCAAACCAAGGAAATATTTTGTGTTATTTTGAGATTGTTTGTTTCTTTGCTTTCGCCTATAATATTGATATTTAGTACTTTGTTAGAGTTATCTTTCGCTTGCGCATAAAACTACAACATCGCCCACCCAAGAGAAAAGTCATGGACCTGCTCCTGCCTCCTTATCCCTATTACCACACATACCAAAATAGCCTCACGGGTTGCTTCACTTCTACCAATGCTATCACGAACCACCCAACCACACCACCATCGTCTCAACTCGGCTACCCATATTTGTCGGCCTTATAACCCTAATTTATGCATTTGTTATTACAAGTGTTGGTCTTGCAACCTTTCACAGGAAAGCCCTAATACACTCTCTAACCCTAGCATAATTCACAAAATTTACCCTCCTTCTAGCTGCTAGCCTCCAACTCATTCTTAAGGCCGGTGGCAACCACCCTTTCAACCTTTCTTATCCTTCTCCTTCTTATTCCAACCACCCCCCCCCCCCCCCCCCCCCAAAAACAAGATTTTTCTTCCCCGTAACTGCGATGGCCCCGATTCCCGTCATGGATCGGTGGAGCAACCTACCATCTATAAGTGGTGTGGATGGAGCTATGTCTTCCGCCTTTTTGCCCATGTTTCAAGGTCATATTCCTCTAATTTGGGGCTTTTGGCTAGATTTGGGGGCTTTGCGCTCAAAATCTTCCAAAACTTCAAATCAGCCCTCCAACTCCTCACACCCGTATTCGCTGTTTTTTCCATGCTTTTCTCCGATCAAAGACAACTATATGGTGTCACCCCTACAAAAGGTCTAGAGTCTCTTTGAATTGGTGGTTACACCATCTGACCTTTTTTGTTACTACTTGGTTCTAGGCATTCACATGCCTATTGTGTGTTTGTGTTCGGCTGAGGACCAGAACTGTGGTGACCGGAATGGGTATGGTTCTTCCTGATTTACAGATTTGGCTCTTTTTTACCGGTGCTGTGACATCAATGGGTTTGCGTATTGCTATCTACGGAGGTTTCTCTTGGTTTTCCTGTTCGCTGGTCGTCTCCACCAATTATGCTGTGGTTGAGGTTAGACCTGGCATTCGTGTCGTGTTTCTCGTGTTCGTGTCGTTTTCGTGTCATACCCGATAGCTTAACGGGTCGTGTCGTGTAATACCTGTTAAAGTAAACAGGTAATATGACCCGACCCGAAATCAACCCATTAATATTATCAGGTAATATGACCCGACCCGTTATCCGTTAAGAAAATTATATTTTAAATCAATAAAAATGAAAAGAAAAACATAATTTGACCCAAAAAAATGTAAAACATAATACTAAATTAGTATATACATACTAAATTTCGGAGTTGACCTCTTAATGAACGTTGTAAAGTTTTTCATTATATGTGATTACATTTTTCACACTTATTATTATTAATTTTTCACTCAAATAAGTAACATTGTTCATGAGATTTTTAAAAATCTACACTTATTTATACTTTCATCAAGTATAACATAAGATTTTATGTTATCCACTAGTGTAAATATTTTAAATTGAAGATCGAATTCATTCATTATATTCATATAGGATCAATGAGTGTAGCTGTAAAAAATCATCAAAATCGGAGTTAAAATAACCGTTAAATCGTAATTTTTCGTTTATAACCGTCGAAAAGTTTTGTCTCATTACTTGATCTCTGAATGTTTTTTTTTTTTTTTTTTTTTTTTGCAATTTTTGGCGTATGCGATCTCGAAGCATATATAAACAAGTTTGACGGTTAGATCGTTGAAATTAGTTTCGTATGATGCGTATCTCATCAAAACGATAGATTCACTAACACTTAAGAGTTTATTTATACTTTCATCAAGTATAACATAAGATTTTGTGGTATCCACTAGTGTAAATATTTTAAATTGAAGATCGAATTCATTCATTGTATTCATTTAGGGTCAAGGAGTGTAGCTGTAAAAAATCATCAAAATCGGAGTTAAAATAACCGTTAAATCGTGATTTTTCGTTTATAACCATCGAAAAGTTTTGTCTCATTACTTGATCTCTGAATGTTTGTTTTTTGCAATTTTTGGCGTATGCGATCTCGAAGCATATATAAACAAGTTTGACGGTTGGATCGTTGAAATTAGTTTCGTATGATGCATATCACATCAAAACGATAGATTCACTAACACTTAAGAGTTTATTTATACTTTCATCAAGTATAACATAAGATTTTGTGGTATCCACTAGTGTAAATATTTTAAATTGAAGATCGAATTCATTCATTGTATTCATTTAGGGTCAAGGAGTGTAGCTGTAAAAAATCATCAAAATCGGAGTTAAAATAACCGTTAAATCGTGATTTTTCGTTTATAACCATCGAAAAGTTTTGTCTCATTACTTGATCTCTGAATGTTTGTTTTTTGCAATTTTTGGCGTATGCGATCTCGAAGCATATATAAACAAGTTTGACGGTTGGATCGTTGAAATTAGTTTCGTAGGATGCATATCACATCAAAACGATAGATTCACTAACACTTAAGAGTTTATTTATACTTTCATCAAGTATAACATAAGATTTTGTGGTATCCACTAGTGTAAATATTTTAAATTGAAGATCGAATTCATTCATTGTATTCATTTAGGGTCAAGGAGTGTAGCTGTAAAAAATCATCAAAATCGGAGTTACAATAACCGTTAAATCGTGATTTTTCGTTTATAACCATCGAAAAGTTTTGTCTCATTACTTGATCTCTGAATGTTTTTTTTTGCAATTTTTGGCGTATGCAATCTCGAAGCATATATAAACAAGTTTGACGGTTGGATCGTTGAAATTAGTTTCGTATGATGCATATCACATTAAAACGATAGATTCACTAACACTTAAGAGTTTATTTATACTTTCATCAAGTATAACATAAGATTTTGTGGTATCCACTAGTGTAAATATTTTAAATTAAAGATCGAATTCATTCATTGTATTTGTTTAGGATCAAGGAGTGTAGCAGTAAAATATCATCAAAATCGGAGTTAAAATAACCGTTAAGAGTGTAGCTGTAAAAAGTCATCAAAATCGGAGTTAAAATAACCGTTAAATCGTGATTTTTCGTTTACAACCGTTGAAAAGTTTTGTCTCATTACTTCATCTCTGAATGTTTGTTTTTTGCAATTTTTGGCGTATGCGATCTCGAAGCATGTATAAACAAGTTTGACGGTTGGATTGTTGAAATTAGTTTTGTAGGATACTTATCCCGTCAAAACGATAAATTTACTAACACTTAAGAGTTTATTCATACTTTCATCATTTTGATGGGATACGCATTGATGTTATACTTAATGAAAGTATAAATAAACTTTAAGCGTTAGTGAATCTTATCATTTTGATGACTTGAAATAAATATATTAATTATTTATATATTTTAAGTGTTAATTAGACTATGTTTCAATTAGTATGTGATGATATTTAATAATAAAATTACATTTATGTTTTTTTATTACATATTTTATTTTTATTCAAGTTAAAATGTTATAAGAGATTAAAAAAAAAAAAAAAAAAAAAGAGCTGGTTACTTTTTTTCTTTGGGTTAAACATTAGGCGGGAAATGGATGGATATAGGTTGCAAAATTTCTCAAACATTAGGTGGGAAATGGATGACACTCTTGAAATATTAGGCGGGAAATTAATTATTATAATTTTTTTATGTTTTTGGTATTTTTAAATTACTTGATATTTTTATTTTTAATGTGTTTTATGATTTTTAATCTCAATCTTTGCCTATAATATATTATAAAAATAAATAAATAAATAAAACTTAAATTTTAAAATTTATATAAAATAATAATAGAATAATAATTAATAAACAATATATACATATTCATTATATCTATTGCATTTTATAGTAAGTTTTTTTTAGTAGTTTAAAAAATTAAAATCATCAAAATAATATTTTTCTTATCGTGTCGAAACAGGTTACCCGCGTGTCACTTTCGTGTAAACCTGTTAAGGACCCGTTATTAACGGGTTATTATCGTGTGACCCGATAATGACCCGATTAGTTATCGTGTTGACCCGAAACCCGTTATTTTCGTGTCGTTTACGTGTCGTGTTAACGAGTCATGTAATAAATTGCCAGGTCTAGTTGAGGTGTGTGACTCTCGTTTTAGGGTTATTAGGTTTTTATGTGGGGTTACTTTTTGGGTGGGCCTTGGCTTTTGGACCGATACACACTGTTTATAATTTTTTGTTTAAGGTATTGATGGGAACTTTTATTCACATAATGAATGTATAAGTGACGTTATGTTCGTACCTATTCTATTTATGAGGTTATTATTTTATTTTCTCATTTTCATCTGCGGAGTCCGGACCGTGTCTGTTTGGACTTTGTTATAAAATTTCCCATTGATCGAAAAAAAAAAACTTAGGCTACCCTTTCCCCAACACAATTAACCTTCAACACCTTTTTTTAATGCCACTTATCTAACAGCATCTCATTGTCCCTGATGTTACTTGAAGATCCATTCATAGCCCCTCACATCAAACCAAAAATAAACAAATAAAAAACCATGCTTTCAGACCAAAAAAAAAAAAAAAAAAAAAAAAAAAAAAAAAACCATGTTTTTCATGTGTTCGGTAATGGATATCATTCAAATATGTTTTCATGTGTATTTATCTATTGATTTTTTATTTATTTATAAAGTTTTGCATGCTTTTGACCAGAACCAAAGCATGCTTGAAAGTTCTACAACTTTTTCCAAAGTAAATAAACCATTCAAGTTCATTGCCGTAAATAATGAAGGTGCGATCAAAACCGTATGTGGAGGAATGTCCGCTCTCTCATTGGCTGCTGCACTTATAAGATCCAAACCAAATTAATTTATTTTATTTTGGGCAGATCAAACAGCAGTGTCGCATTCTGTGATTGCAACCAAGTAAATACAATAGAAGTGTCGAGAGTAATCTAGGACTAATGATTTTTACACTCAATATACCATAAAAAAACAAGAAGAATTTTAAACTCTAGTTTTGACAAAAGATAGTCCATCTAATATGCATTAAGATAATCATTTAATACTACGATTTAGTGATATTCTATTTAACTTGTAAGTAAGAAGTTTTAGACTCGATTCTCGTCAAGTGTGAATTTAAGCCACGTTATTACTAGCACATTGTGAAGTTTAGCCAATCCTTCTTCTTTAGTATAGATAATATTGTTTGCTAAAAAAAAAAACAAAAATAAGTTGGCCTCAGTTGAAAAAAATCCACCAAGGAAACCTCATAATCACACTTGACACACACACACACACATCATATATATATATATATATATATATATATATATATATATATCTATAGAGAAAACCTTTAAAAGAAGGTATTCCTATTTTTTTTTTTAAATGGGGATTAGTTGTAGGATTCACATCATCTCGAACTTTAACGATTTGAACCTTCCATTTTTCAAGTTGCACCTCATAATTAAATCATCTTTGCAAAATATTAGCTAAATCTGAAATATTTAAGGCATTTAATTGAGTTCAAAGAAATTAACGAATACTTTGTTATATAAGAAACAATGAAATTTTATCTTGATAATTAAATAGACAAATGATTTTAGATTGAATTGAATTTTTGCAAGATGAACTATGAGATGCAACTTGAAAAACAGACAGTTCAGATTATTAAAATTCAATATCATGAAACCCCACAACTAATCCTTATTTTCGTAAAAATAAAAAATAAAAAATAAATTAAATTAAAATTAAAAAAAAAAAAAAAAGAAAAGAAAAAAAAAAAGCCTATTGCCAACCACACCATACCCGACTTTGTTCTTATCTTCATCATTACAAGGGTGGCAAGTGGCGGAAATATATGGGCCAACCTGTGTCGTTACACCAAATGACTAAATCATCCTTAAAAAAGAGAAAAGAAAACTAACGGAAAGTTCAAAAAATCTTAATTTTAATAAAAATTAATAAATAAAAATGTAGTAAATAGTATTAAAAAAATAAAAACGTGATTTTTTTGTTAAAATTAAACAGTACCGAAAATATTTCGTTAAAAAACCGAAAAAGAAATCAACGTGTCCACAATGGACAAAATAGCATGTGATGTTTTACCATAAAAAGCTCCATATACCACTCGCCCAACCAAGCTTTACCCTTCGCAAAAATGGCATCCACCATCTCCGTCAACAGTCTCTTCATCTCCCTCCTCCTCTCCCTCTTCCTCACCCTCGCCTTCTCCGACGTAAGTTTCCATTTTCTTTCCCTTAACTCTGATTAAATTTTGGTGTTTGACATTAGTTTGGAAGTGTATATATCTATATATGTGTGTGTGTGTCTCTGCAGGACCCGGATTGCGTGTACACGGCGTACGTTAGGACGGGGTCGATCATAAAGGCCGGGACGGACTCCACCGTCAACCTCCGGCTGTACGACGCGTACGGATACGGCATCGAGATCACGAACCTCGAAGCCTGGGGCGGCTTGATGGGCCCCGGCTACAACTACTTCGAGAGGGGCAATCTCGACATCTTCAGCGGGCGAGGTCCCTGCCTCCGGTCATCGATCTGCGCTCTCAACCTCACCTCGGACGGCTCCGGCCCCAACCACGGCTGGTACGTTAACTACGTCGAGGTGACCTCCACTGGGGCCCACATTCCTTGCCATCAACAGCTGTTCACCATCGAGCAGTGGCTGGCCACCGATACGTCGCCCTACGAGCTAACCGCCGTCAGGAACTACTGTAACTCCGACATCGAGGGTGCTGAGAAAAGGGGACGTGCTGAGCACCGGATGATCCGGTCCGGTTCGAGCGGTTCGGTTTCTACTGTTTAAGTTATGTTTGGATGCGAGGTTAATGAGTTGTTAGTTGGTGTGGTTGTCCAAATCCGTGTGTGATCAGGTGCGCGGTGGTGTTAAGTTTAGTCGTGGTTAACCAAATCCGTGTAAGTTCAGGTGCGCGGTGGTGTTAAGTTTAGTTGTGGTTATCCAAATCCGTGTATGATTTGGCCAAAATAAAACAAATATGAATTTTATTAGTAAGATATTCGGATCTGTGATCTGTAACGTGTAATGTGAATGAGGTAATTTGGAATTTCTGTTTGGCTGGGTCTTGGGATGTCGGTGGGATCCGGATTAGTAAAAGACTCTTGCAAATTGTTTTGCTGTCTTAAAGAGTTATTAATGCACGCTGCGCATCCTTCCATTTTTATTTTTATTTTTTTAATACGAGGGTACTACTTTTTATATTAATTTTAATTATTATGGATGATGAATGAGACATGGTTGAATATGTTCTCGTTCAAAGCATCTCCGATGGAGTAGCAAATAGAAAGTCAAAACAATTTTGATAAGCCATGTAAGCAATGTTGCCTACTTTCAACATTAAGGGCAAATAGGATTCTACTTCTCTATTTATTATATAAAAAAAAAAATATATTTTATGTAGAGAAAGAAGGCAAAAATAAAGGATAAGGAAATTAGAATGCCTTACAATTTTTTTATAGTTTTTTTTTTTTTTAACAAAAAATACTTTCTACCCTAAAGGGGAGGGGGATTGATTTAGACTCATATAGGCTAGTATTAATATGATTCAAATTCGTTTTTGCCAAAAATCAAACCTAAGACCTCCCACTTACAAGTGAAGAGAAATACGACTATATCGTATTACTAAGTGACAATTTTTATATAGTTTTAACACTAAATATCTATTCCTTTTAAATATTTGATTATGACCCTTTGACCAATTGTCATCTCAATAATTTTCTATTTATTTAGTTTCAATGTCATTAATTTAAATGCAGTTATATATCGTAAGGTAACCTAGCAACTAACTGCCTATAATATAGGAACTTAATTTCATCAACCCGCATTAAATGAATTTTTTAATAAATAAAAATATTTAATTTAACTGATTCTTCATTATGAGTATTAAAAAAAAAACTAACTAATGAAAATGGCTTGAAAACTTTAAGTTTTAATGATAAGAACAAAATAAATGGTAAAGTGAATAGTATCAGAATTGACATTTTTAGTATAAAAATGTGATTTTTCGTTAAAGTGAACAGTACTGGGAGTTTTTCATTAAAGTTCCCTAAAAAAATGGTAAAATTTGATATGAGTCCAATTATGTGAGCCTTTATGACGTATAGTCCAATTTTACTTGATTATTGAGTTAAGTCCAATGGCTCATTGTACACATCAACTTATTTTTATTCTCTTGCCAAATTTATCCCTAAACTGACTAATTAAGTAATTAACATACTTATTATTATTATTTATTTATGATGATTTTTAATCCTTATTCATAGGATTATCTTATGCTTAATGATCGGGTTAAGTATAGGAATATAAATCTCTTTAATATTTTTTCATCCTCCAAAACGTTTCCTATTCTTTTTTTTTTTCTTTCTACCTTACGATGTCTCCTTCTCACCCGGTCACGATATCTTCTTCTTCTTTTTTACCCTACTCTATGCTCCTAAGCATAGATGATCAAACGTACACCTCCCTTACGAACCGTTAAGTCTGGAGAGAAATAGTTGAAAAACACGTCTGGACGAACACTTGTAGTAAAACGTTCATTTGTAACTAATCACTAGGGTTGCTCTCCAAGTTGAGGGGTATAAGATTTGAAAACTTGAATTAAAGGAATCATATAGCCACACATAGAAATGGATGCCACAATCGCTAAGCTTAGAACCTACATTTCTACCTTCACCAATTCCATGCTAAAAGACTGTTCAGTCCTCAAGGTCGCTTGGAATTCTTCCTGGTAATTCTGGTAAGCTTGTGAAAGGGTTATGCTCCTAGGGAATATCGATACGAAACTGGGCGCACAATTCATCCAAGTCGATCCATCATGAATTCCTCACAAATTTGGCAAGAAACCATGTTGAGAAGGCTAAAAGAACATTCAAGAGTTTAAGAGTCAAAACAAGTCCATTAAATCCAAAGTACAAGATATCGAGATTGAATATACAACTCTGATGCTTGAATACGTGTAAGTACCTAACTTGGTTATGTGGTGGTAGTTTGAAATGGTCGAACGCTAACGCAACTTGAATGGTAGTCTAATGAAACTGACGAATGGGAACCTAGACTTTCTCCAAACCAATATTCACAACATCTTGCTACAACAGTAAGTCCAGCAATATTCAATGATAATTCCCTCAATAAGGTGTTGATTGGGCGATTGAAGGACTGATGATCTCAATTAAAAAGGTTCAATGTTTGATTGGGTCTCCTGGACAGTCTGTCTTCTTCAGAAATGATACAAAGAACAAAAAGGTGACCCAAGATTGACTAAAACATCTTTTAGGACCAAGAGGTGATTCTAGAATTACAAACA